TAACGGGAAGAATGCCAAATAACGTCAACTCGGTTTACGTCCCCATCACTAATAATCAGAAGTCAGCAACAAAAATGGACAAACTGTGAATTTTAGCAAATTGTAAGTATAACTTTTGCAGATTTTGTTTGCGTGAGCTAAGGCACACAGATAACGACTTATGCAACCCACGCGACATGAGCACATCAACTGATACACCATACGTCCTTGCATTTGGTATTTATAGTCGATGAGCTCGAGCTAGCTACGCACAACGATAGGTTCGTGTGCTTGCGTATCAGATAACTTGCTATTTTTTATTAATGGGTGACATGAATCTAAGTTAAAATTTAGCTTAAACTTTTTGTAAATATATGTCCACAGCACAAAAATATCATAGCCAACTCTTTTGCGCACCCTGATACTTCATCACTAATACTAGTCGTGACACTCCATCATAGCCCTTTATTATGGTAGCTCTGAGCTATCGAGCAACAATAGTGACAGGGTATGTAACCTCGTAACATCCAAATATTAGATCGAGTTGTCGTCTTTTCTTCCCGTTCGAAAAAGACATATAAAGCATAAGACAAATCAGTTTTAATGAAGGTTGTCCGAGGGTTATGCTACCGGAATCCAGCTAGGACCAAGTTTTCTCTAGCGCAGCATGCTGGTAGCTGTTCGACTCTTTTATGGGACCGAGTTCCGTACCCCTTATTACACTATGGGGTTATTTCGGTCTAGGTATCATACACAATATTTACAGAACAGTCACACTTTTAGAATATAGTTTTTCATCCATTTTACTGACTTATCTCCGGAGACGAAGGTTGTCAAAGCGAATGGCTACATCTGGTTATAATTATTGAGAAGGATGTCTTGTCACTTGGGCATAACAGTGCATAAACGCGTACCCTCTGTTCTCCTACCCCTTTTCGCGACAAATTACTACATAAACCAGAAAACTAATACGCAAATGAATATGACTACATATACATGAGAGAGATATTGGGAGTTTTGGATTAAATAAACAGAGTAGGAGATTTTCCTAAGTATATAACTCCTAGCCATCATAACGCACACCATCGATCGACTTAAAACAAACACTCAAGAAGATCTTTGAGCTCTTGATCCGTTAGAGCTGTGGTGGGATTTGGAAACGAATATTGGTGCAAATGTTCTTCAATAGGTGATAAGACCATTGTGTCAAAGAAGAATAGTGGAAGCTTTTCGCATGGTACGTGCGATGCATCAGTAGGAGACACAACCTTTAAACGATTCTTCGCTTGCAACGAGGAGCGTGAAGTTGCTGGAACGTGCACGGATCGATGTTGGGTCTTCATATGCCTTGTAAGGTTCCCCGCCGTACTAAACGTTTTACCACATTCGTCAATAACACACGTGTGGACACAATTTCCATTATGGACCTTCTGATGTTTTGTGAGCATATCCTTGCTTGTAAAGATACGAGTACAGCCAGGTGCTGGACACTCCATTTTGTGCAACGAGTGGAGACGTTTGTGACGCGCCAAATTGCCGGACGTACTAAATCGTTTGCCACAGGAGCCAATAGGACATTGATGTGGTTGTTCTCCCGTGTGAGTTTTCATGTGCTCATGCAGTGTAAACTTGCGATGAAATCGACCACCACAGAGTGGGACGGGACACGCAAACGGTCGGTCTTGATGCGAGTCTCGAAAACGTGGTTGACTTATCAAAGCACTCGGACGAACAGCGGTACTAGCAGCCATAGTGTTGGATGTTGATGATGAAGGTGATTGACGAAAGGCTTCAAATACAAAAATGACTTGAAGTGCGAGGCTCGAAGTGCGAGGTCAAGGAAACGCGAGACACTTGGAAGGTGTGATGGGTACTAGCCACGTCAGGGTAAAAAAGCCATGTGTCAGCGCATCAACGAGTACTGTCCCTTGTTCTGAAACAGCGGAGGACAGATCCCAAGATTAAGACAGACCCCTGAATAAGCATCAGGTGTATGAATATTGAGGAACAAGCATGTTCTCGTCGAAGGATCTTCTTGTAGTATCTGTCCTTTTTGCTATTTCATCCAGCGACTAGATATTGCTGACGCGTTGCTTATCAGTGAAATTGAACTGACCGATGATTATTGACGGTCTGCGATCTTCCGAGAGGATCATCACACAGCATCAGCGAGAATCAAACGGACTCTTTTATTCTCAGCTTGTAGAAGTTTACGGCAGAGGTCCAAATTCTCAATCAGGTATGTCGTTCGCAATAATGCAATAAAGGTATGCTGCAAGGCCAGGGACTACGTTGTGGTCGTTTGAGAAACGTTTTCTTCACTACTTTCAGGCGAATTGCTATTGTTCAAATGAGACTCTTGTGTTATATTCTAATTTGAAGATATTTTCAACAATATCGAAGCTATGCGTACGTCGCGATAGCTAATCTCCTACTTAATCTGCAGTCTGACACTGCTACAACGCAGATTGCATGAATCATAATGGTACAATACAGAGCAGCTTCAAAATCTTGGGAATTGCCGTTTGGAAGAATAACATGTCGCGGGTGGTAGGGATCCATTCACTTCTCTTCTTCGAGGCCACAGCTTTTTTTAAAAACAATAGGACGATGCCCTCAACTCAGATATCCACCGAGTTGCGCCTCGTCTGTACCTCGTAATCTTGTGTCGAGTCCAAGCATCGACCATCGAGGGTTTGATCTCAACACTTCATTTTCTACTGTACAATGAAAAGGGGCTAGATCTAGTGCTTAGCTTAGAAATTCTCATATCATTCTTTTCGTGCTATAGTTGGATAGCAACAATGCTCTCCAATCATTGCCAAACGTGTTGTTGTGAAATTCTTCTCCGTCAACAAAACTATCGCAGAGAATTTTAAGATTGGGCTGGCCATAAACTACGACATGATACCATTTCAGGATATGGTTAACTGTGATACTGTACAGAGCATACAGATGGAAGCTAGCGCTCCAACAATCGGGCAAACTCTCTGGCCTGCGCTGACGGATGAGCTTCCTGATAATAAAAACATGTGCACTTAGCCCCTATGAATGTTTCTCTTGCTGTTCGAGCACACCCATATGCTAGTCACCTTGAAATCTCGCTGCCGCACTAAGTCACTGGACTAAAACTTGCGTGCTTTGCATGTTCCTTGAAGTTGCATGGGCCCCACTTGACGACAAAGCATCGCCATGTGCATCAAAGTTTCAAGAACGAGATCCACAATGTTTCAAGCCTTCACATAGGTCTGGTGTATAGTGTTCACGTAAGAATTGACGCAGTTTCTTCTGCTTTAGACTGATCACTCAAGAACGCTTAGCTACTTCCTTAAGATGACTACAATGACTTTTTACAAGTTGATGTTCGTGAGTTGGTATCCATTTATGATCAGCATGTGGACGCGAAGAAGACGTTATTTCTTGAATCGTGTGCTTATTTTGTATCGAAGATTACAGATGCATAAATATGCCTAGTTTCATATGAAAGTTTGTAAACACCTATATGCCGCTAATCTGCAAATGGTGCTTTCATGCACAGAAATGGACTCGAATCAAGATTACAGTGATCACTTGAAAAGCAATCAAAATATTTGAGATGACATGTGTGATCGTATGAAGGTGACAACATTGAGAGATTTCCTCATTCATCAGCTAATGGAATTAGAAATGCATTTGATAATCTGTGTCTGGCCTTGTCTTTATCGAATAGTTCGTAATCTTCCAGTAGTCCTAACTTTCGATTACATAAGTTGCAATACAATGAGATCCAATCCCACCGCCTTTAGAGATCTTCACGACTCAACGATTGTACTGTAAGATGACCTGTTGCCATAATTTAACGGTCGTCATGTTGTGATCACGGGATCAGAAAGATTTTCTTAACGGTGTGTTGGGTGCCAAAGTGGGTGCCTGGATACACTTGTACTGTCCACTTCCTGATTCAAGTTTATGTCACTCTGTAGGCTTTGAAACTTCAGGCTTGTCCCCTCAATACGCAGCTACAGGTCAACAGCTACGGACTTGACATTCTCAATACAACCATATTATGCAGTGATACAATGATCTTGGTCCGAATTCTGAATATGTTTAAAACTTAGATATTCAAATTGTTCTGCAATACGTCTTGGTATTATTTACTCGTAACCTCAGTGTCAATAGCTGTTGGTTGGATCTAGTATTGTCCGACCAGTCGGCACTCTATGCGTATCAATGAGGACAAATCTCTCTACCATAGCCTGAAATCCACCTGGCTATAGGAGCTAAACTATGCATCTACTTTGCAATTAAGCTTGAAGTATTTATCATCATGAAAATTTTTGGGAATCGACGAAGGCAAAGTTCGAGGATAGATCAGGCTTACGAGCTCATAAGATTCCATCATTGGATTGGAAAGTGAGAACGAATGCGATATTCGTTGACAAAAAAACTTTCTTTACCTGTCATGAATGCAGTGGCAATGCGTCTTTCCAAATTGAGTATGTCTCAATCGTGCGTGCTGATGACCTTCATGTACGCACTACTGCGAGCAATCATATCGCACATTTATTGGTTACAAAAGTAAGACCACTCATAAGCAAAAAGAATCTTTAATAACAACACGACACTGTGCAGAATATTTCATAGAATGTCCAGTTTGGAAGCTTCTTACTTTGAAAATTGGGGCTATAGGAAATCTGTACTTTATACTTTACCATAAGAATTGTTCATAGAAATCTAAAGGCGACAGACATGAAGCGAGTAATGATTTTCAGCTCTCGGAATAGCGTCAAGCAATACTGTGACCACATTGTGCAAGTTAGCTGAATGGTGATAGCTTTCCAATAGTGAGAACAAATTCATATTGATGTCTGAAAACCAAAGAGTTCTGGAGCAAAACGCAATAAGTATCATTAACCAGAGGCGCTGTCTCCAAACTATTATTTCAAATAGTCGCTTTATTGGGTTAAGCTCGAATGTGGTTTTCACATCGAAAGACATCAGAGAATCCATTTTTATGCGGCACGCAAATGATATCCCCACAATAAATAATTGATCTATTGAACGGCATACTCCATCTGCTATTACTTTCATACGTTTGTTCAACTGGACGTGTGTCCTTGTCGATTCTGTTTTTCTGATTGCGAAGGAGAGCCCTCGATATTGGAATCGTGCTGTAATTTTGTGCATTTCACCCTTGCATCTTAAAAACAAGTGTGTTAGATCCAATCCGATTGCAGCGTAGTTTAACATATTAAAGTGTGGCATTGTTGAAGATGATGGATCTAGGCGACAGAGAAAGTATTTCCTGTCAACGGCAATGGTGGACGGTTCAGAAAACCATGTGACGGACGGGATCAAGGAAGAACGGAGATAGTTTCAAGGGCAAAAGCTTTCAGTGTGGTCACACTAAACGGGAGTGTGTTGAGATGACACCGCTGAATGCATGTTGAACAGGCAGATGACGTCACCATATTTACGAGCACGTCA